AGCCCCCCGCGGCCCCGACCCCACGCAGCCCGCCTTCTGCAGCTCTGCAGCTGCTCGGGGGTGCCGCGGCTGCTCAGTCCTGGTGTGAGGGGCCCCCCTGCACCCGGGCCCTGGGCCCCAGCAGCCTGGCTCCTGCTGCTAGGCGGCCTCCCGCGGCCCAGGAGGCCTCACTACCCGAGTGTCCAGCGGCTGGCCCCTCCTGTGCTGGGCGCGCCGGCCACCCCATGCCCGAGGACCTTTGTGGGCTTGTGCTTGCCTGTGGGGCTTGGGGCCGGGTGTGGGGGAGGGCGGGCGTCGCCCCACCAGACGCGGGGGCCGGGGTGCTCCGTGGGTTGGCGCAGGCGCAGACCCCACCAGCAGCGGCCACCTGCGCCCGGCCCCGGCCCCGGCCCCGCTGGCTGGGCTCTGCAGGGGCTGTGGGTGGCAGGCTGACCCCCGGGGCCGAGCAGCGAGCAGCGGGCGGCCAGACGAGGGTTCCACAGACTCGGCCGGCCAGGCGGGGTGTCCTGGCTCCCCCGGCTCCCCCAGCGCTGCGGCACCCAGTGACCGGTCTCAGCTGGCTTCACAGCTGCAGCCGGGGCCCCTGGCGGGTGCCTGCTGCCCACTTGAGCTGGCCGGAAGCTGGGGGTGCCGGGCCGGCCTCTGTGACCCTCCAGAAGAGGGGACCTCTGATCCAGGAACAGGCGCCTCCTTCTTGGGGCTGTTCCGGAATGTTCCTCCCACTGGAGGAGCCGGAGTGCCTCGAGGTGTGCAGGTGGGGGACCCCGGCTCGAGGTGTGCAGGTGGGGGAGCCGCAGGTCAGCCGGGAGCCCCACACGAGCAGGGTGAGCACCTCAGCGTCCTGGGCAGGGCGGTGTGCGTTGGTTTTTGCCTCGGGGCGCGGTCCTCTCCCTCCGGCCTGCGCTCAGCTGCTACGCGGGCGTGTCCGTGGGCCTCCGTGGGGCCTGTGGCTCTGTCCTGAGGGGACACCACAGCAGTGGGCCCCCCGCAGGGGCTGCGGGGAGCGAGGCCGGCAGGGGCG